TTCCTACGACCTTCGCGAACATTGACATCAAAGGAAAGCCGGCCAAAGGTTTCATTTACGCTCGACCTTGCCGCACACCGGCGATGACCGTCAAAATGCGTACCGTTTCGATGTATGGAGGAACCACGACGCCTGACGCTTTCGGCAAAGGAAGAAACCATGCGTGGTAGATGCGGATCTGCCGCTTGCACCAGCAACTTCAGTCCTCGGCATCTGGGTAACAGTAGGGCTGGAGCAGAACTGTCGGTGCTACATCCCGGGGCAAATTCAGAAAGCTAAAAAACGATAGCATCCATGTGATGGTGCATCATGCACGCCTACGATTTGTGCCTCGACCGCTTCGGACGGCACGCGAGGCCACTGACACATCGCTATAGACCTCAACTCGTTGTGATCGCCGCTAACCAAATCTCAGCGTGGAAGATCGCGCCTACTGCCGCCGATGGCAGGCCGCGACGGCCTCACGTACGAACAAAAATACAGGCAATGCCAACGGCCACCACGGTGGAATCGGTAAGTCAAAGCTCGGCGGACGGATTCAGGCGCAAAAGCGAACCGCTGATCGAGATCAGCCGTCCTGCAGACAGAAGGGCTCTGTCGCCGGACAAGCTCCTACAACGTCTGCGCGCGGACGTTCGGCATCGTCGTCATGACACCTAGCTATACGCTGCAGGATGAAAACCTTACGATCACTCCAGAGAGCCTGAGACCCTTCAGTTTACAGGAGCCTGCGGTGAAGTCTGATGTAAAGAGTACCATATTCCTCAACTGGACTCAGCAGCATGGGGTGCTCTGCATTGATGCGCGCCGCACCTGAAGTGCCGGAGGCATGGGCAGCGGCTGAGGCCAACGCCTGCAGTCAAATGAGCTAATGGACTGTCTTGCTGCGTGAACCCCGCTCTACGCCGCCCCCAGAAGTGCTTTGGGGAAAGCTGGCCGGTTTCTCTGCCGGGACCGGCTGTAAAGGACGCGCGACGACATCTCCGCTTTCACCGCCGAAGCTGCCGTAATTTCCGTATTGGGGCAGTATGCTTGGCTGATATAGATATCATTCCTCGGCGTGTCTTGATCCAAGCCACGTTCAATGATGGTCTGAGGTAAATGATAACGATGATGATAACAATCATCTCATCCTATTCAGAAGCATATTTATCGACTCCCGGCCTGGAGACGAGAATGTTCTGCCTCACGCCGTCTTGCAGCCTTGTCCCCTGAACCGTGAAGCCTAAGCCCCGAAAGCCCAAAATCTCACCAGTGACGGAAGCTTGGTCTTCATATCTTCGCTGGTGAGCTCCCAGTGGACAGTGCGACTTGATCACGATGCTGGCTTGGAAAGCCTGTATGGTTTAGGGCTGTAGGGTTTAAGGCTCTATGGGGCTCGGGATTAGCCGTTTAGGCCTTGTAGGGCTTATAGGGTTTGGTCGAAATGTTGCTTCGATCCCTTTCGGAACTGCTTGCCGTGCCTATACCACCAGCCCAGCGCCCCTGCTGTCGGCAGGGAGATCACCAGAGCAAGCAGCAGCGTTGCAGTGCAAGAAGCCTGCAAAGTGTCACTCAGCTGACTTGGCTTATGGCTGGGTGACTAGATTTTCCGTTTTTCACAGGCTCAAGGCACCCTAAACCCTAAACCCATCTAACGGCACATGAAACTTCGTGAGGCTCCTTTATTTACTCAAGTCCAGTCTCAGCTGATGTATCCAACACCCTTATAGGACCCTTGATCCTAAAACCTTCAGCCCTCAAAGCAAGGAGTGTGCCTCAAACTGCACAGCGCTTGCTTGCGGTGATCTCATCTACAGACGAAAGCCCAAGCCCCCCACACCCCCCCCCCCAAAAAAAAACAAAAAAAAAACACTCTAAACCCTAACAGAAAACCCGAAGCCCCAAACTCTGTCCTTTGTGAAGAGCAGCAGGCCGGCATCGATGTGATGGAGCACTACGAGCTTCCGGCCCGGGGGCCCGGATTGATCTTTATCTCAGGGTTTGGGGTTAGGGGTTAGGGGTTTAGGGGTTTAGGGTTTAGGGGTTCAGGGTTTAGGGGATTTTTCGGTGCTATTGTCAACTGGTCCTTCTGAGATATTAAGTAAGCACTTCTCCAAAGTAGGGCCCTTTCTAGGTCCCAACTATAGCACGGCACCCTTGTAAAAAGGGACCCTTTAAGGGGACCCTCATAAATTTAGAGAACTGCGTAAGTAGCTTCAGCCCCCTAAACCCTAAACCCGCTAAACCCCTAAAACCCCTAAATCCCCTAAACCCCCTTAGACCCCCTAAAACCCCTAAACCCCATAAATCGCTAAACCCCTATACCCTAAAACCCCCTAAGCCCTGAAAGCCCCAAAGCCCTAAACTCACGCCCAGGCCGAACCTTTGCAGCTCCGAAGCGAACCCGGCCTTCAGGCCGATTCGGGCATGTAGTCTTTGGGGTTTATTGATGCTGTTGATGCATGATTGAATTCATCGCGCACCTACAGAGACCGACGGCAAGCAAGCTTTGGGGTTTAGGGTTACAGGGGCTTGGGATTTAGGCTTATAGGGGTTTAGAAAAAATTAGGTGTTTTGGCGTGCAGGGTTTTGGGGTAAGGGTTTTGGGGGTTAAGGTATTGGGTTTTACTGTTTAGGGTTTATATGGCTCACTATGGTGTGCTGTTCCGGGCTGTCACTGTTGCTTGAGTTTCGGCTTATAGTGCTCGTAGGGCATATAAGGTTTGTCAGAACAAGGGCTGCTTCCGGGTTGCTAGCACTTGTTGTGGTTTCGAAGTTCACGGTTGAGGTAGTTTTTGATACGAAATTCTATATTAAACCACCCTGAAACCCAACCCCGAAACTCTCACCAAGAACAGACCTAAGCCCCTCTTAACACCCGTTTAGGGGTTCCTCGCTCGAAAGTTCCATTGAGGAGTTTACTGTCCAATATCCATAGGATTTTCGAAAGATGCTTGGGAGTTTGGCGCCTTAGGATTCTGGGCTCAACTGATTGAAGCTTCGTTTCGGAAGGTTTGGGTTTAGGTTTATAGCTCGAGGTTTCAAGATGTAGTGCTCCCTTTTATAGAGGCTTCGGGGCCCATTTCTGGGCCTGTGGGCTGAGCGGCTCTGAACTGAGGGGCTTCGAGATGAGGGTTTAAGCCCCGAGGCTCAGGGGTCTAAGTGGGGATGTGGGTATTCTGGGATTCGCGTTTCGGGGGATGTTGAGATATCGCTTGACACTTCGAGGTACACGCCTTTCAGATGGCGCTGTCGGATGCTTCGGGTACGCTGAGCCGCGGGCTCAAGACCGTCGGGCTTATAGGGTTTAGAGTTTGGGGTCCGATGAGCATCTGGGAAGAATTTCTGGTTCATCCCTCGGTTAAACCCACAAGCCTCTGACCCTGCAACAGATCCCAAAAAAGCCTTATTCCAGTGAATTAAGTAAGGCCCCTCATCTGCTATGAAAAGACGTGGAAAAATTAGGGGTTGGCTGTCCAGTAGACTTCAGTGAGCAGCACCGGAGATCAGAGATTGAAAAGCCGAGGTTTCACGCACTTTCCGGACAGCCCGGCGAACTCCGCCTTGAGCCGGCCCGGGTCTTCGACTCTTCTTTTGGGGTTGAGGGTAGGGCTTGCAGGGTTATAGGGTCTAGGGTAGGGTGGGGTGGGGTGGTTTGACGCTGATATGGCCGGGCGATCTGCAGCTAACGGTTTTGGGATTTGGGTTTACGGATGTTTCGGGGTCCAAGGCTCTGAGGTGTAGCGTGCTAGGGTTCGGTTGTTTTTTTGTTCGGACAGGGGCACCATGATTGGGTTGGGTGAGCCGTGGCTGAGGCATCTGCCCAAACAGCGATGGCTAGAAGGACCACAAGCCCGTTGCTGCGTGTAGGTGTTGCGACATGGGGAATGTGGTCGTGATAATTGCCCCCACTCCCACCAGACACGAGGGAGGGCCGTATGCCGTACTCATGCAATGCGCGTGCAAGTGCCAGGAGTCTTGTGATTTTTGGACGGACACGCATGCGAAGTCAGGTGCGTTGAGAGAGGTAGTGGGGTAATTCAGCATCCAAAACCAAGTTCATTTCGGCCAGGATACGTTCCTGCTTCTGTCGAGTTGGAGGCATCTTGGCATTCCGCATCATGGTACCGTCTGGGTGTGATATTGCTGTGTGGCGAATGGTCCATCTTGGATAACCCTTTCGTGTCGGGAATGTACATCTAACTTGTCGTGACTGCATCGTCGACGGCTCTGTGTGATGGCTTTGGTGGAGAAAGCTAGCACATGAATCGACTGCGGGCTTAATGATCGAGTGGATTGACTGGTAGACAGTCCTGGCTGAGAAGTTTGTGACATGATAACGGGAAGTCAGAGCTCATCGTTGCTTTTGCTGTGAGTTGTGACCCTGTGGTCCTGATCAACAGTGACTTCAGGTTAGTTCCTAAACAATCTGAGACTGCTGGCGAAACAGGCGACAGTATGATGGTGATTGTACGGCGAAGATGAGAAGACGAAGCTGATCCTGAGTCGACGTTGTCCTCGCCTTCGTCCCCTCGTCCTTGTCTTCGTCATTTTCGTCTCACGGTCGTCAGCACCGGGCAAGAAACAGGCTGACACAGGCCGTATCCTAGGCCTAACTTCCTCGCATGTTTTTTTGACGCCTTAAGCCCCAAACCCTAGACCTTAAACCCGAAACCCTAAACCTTAAACCTTAAACTTAAACCCTAAACCCCTTAACCCTAAACCCCTTAAGCCCTAAACCCTGAACCCTTAACCTTAAACCCTACACCCTATAAACCCTAAACAGCACCTTGTGACTGAACTCGGTTTTTGGCACCTCAGGTTCCCTGCTGCCGCCTTTCGCAGGTCTTGGAGGCTCTTGATCCGCCTCTCTCAGGCCATCCCGTGCCCTGAGGGTTTATAGGGTTTAGGGGTTTAGGGGTTTAGGGTTTAGGTGTTAGGGGTTTTGGGTTTAGGGTTTAGTGTTTAGGCTGGGATTCTTCTTACCGACTCGAGTTCTTGTTCCTCCCGAGTCGAAGGTGCCACCGTCTTTCTGAAGGGTGACGTCGAGGGCGCGGAGGCTCTCACGCTGCCCTGGTGTTGAGTTGAGCCACTGCTACCAGGGTTTAGGGTCTAGGGTCTAGGGTTTAGGGTTTCAGGGTTTAGGGTTTATAGGGTTAGGGGTTAGGGTTTAGGGTTTTAGGGTTTAGGGTTTAGGGTTTAGAGCACTTAGCAGCTGTAGCATGCCAAAGTACAGGGTACTATACTAATATCCTGTATACAAACAAAAGCATGGTCTAAGCAATTCGCTGGAAGGAGTGCAGTGCAGACAGAGGGTGACTCATGCACAAGAACTGTGCTTCTTTTGCAAGGGATCAGCCCTGGAACAGCATCCCATATACCGCTGCTTCTACAACACTCAACACAATTGATTTGCAGTCTTTCAGTGGGGCTTTTGCCTGGGCTCTTTACACAACATGGCATGCACTTCGCGAAACTATCGTGGTGCTGATCTCTAACCCCAAAAAGCCCGAGCCCTAGTCCGAGCAGCCGGAAAGTCCTTCCGCTCGAAAGAGCTGGAAAGGGACGACACAGTTTCTTGGAGTTGAATGTTGCCACTCCGAAGCCTTTCGGCTGCTGCATGAAGTAGCAATAAGTAACGAGACGCCCCTCGCTACGTTTACAGAATCTGAGGGATGTCTGGGGTGGACAGGTGGACTTGCTTCGAGGCCTCGATGACGAGCATTGGGTGAGCGACTCAGGGCCTGAATCGTGCGGCTTGTTTCCAGCAGAATACACACTTTTAACCATCTGAATCACTGTAGAAATTTCGCTTTACGGTATAAGTCAACCCTGCAGACCTAAACCCCAAACCCCACAGAGTCTTGGCGAACCCAGAAAAGAATTAAAAACCCTGAAACCTGGCGCCCCCGAGGCCTGGGTCTGTGGCTTAGCGATCGAGGCGGCGGAGACCAAGGATGAGCTGATAGAGCAACCCGGCAGGAGCTGTTAGTACAGAGGTCGGACGGTCTATTCTTTGCCAACCCTGGCCCTTATTAGTTTAGGAGTTCTGGTAGTTAGCATCGGCTACAGAGCAGCCGCAACCCAACAGAAAGCCTTGGCAGTCACTCCTTCCGCATGCTATCTAGGCGGAGAAAGACAAAGGTTTCATGTCGTACACATCTGGACAGACCAACAACAGAGATGAGCATGTAAGATACGACTCGACCCTATGTATGGACCCTGATCATGTCCAAGGTACAGTAGCAAGCTAGTGTAGGCAGTAACAATTCGCGAGTTATGGCACAAGCTGTGCCCTGCAGCATCTTCTAAGCTTCATTTGGATCTCCATCAAAATCACCGCCCCAAGCACCCTAGACTGTGAAACTCCAGAGCCGCGAAGCCTGAAACCCCCAAGCCTTGAAAATGCCGGTAACATCATATGGCAACACAGCAACAAACCAACACCCAGATAGCAGTCGAGTAACACACGCGTAAAGAGCCCCCTTTCTGAAAGCCACGAACCGCAGGACCACCAAGCTTGAAGCAAAAACGCTAAACCCCAAAGATTTCAGCAAATCCACGAACGCAGTTTAAGCATCCTGAGAAGCGCTTCAGAAGACCGCCAAATCTAAAGCCCTGAACTCCGAATGCTTGCCAGCCCTTGCACCTTGACAGTGCTGAGGCTGTGCAAGCAGCACGGGCTTGAGAAGCTTCACGCACTGAAGCAACCAAGATCCTCGGCGTCAACAGGGCTTTCACAGGGGTTTGGGTTTTTGGGCTTGGGGGTTTCAGGGCTTTACAGTTGGGGTGTGTTGTGGTGGGTTTTAGGGTCTAGGGTTGTATGCTTGCTTCATGTCAGGGTTTACCAGTTTCATGCTGGCCTTGCGGAGAAGGGCTCTGAGATTTTCCACTTCCCGTTACCACTTTTGGCTGTTTGTATGTGCTTCGTATGACCACTTGATTGGTACCTGGTGGTGCTTTTTCTTGTCGTCGTCGGGAAAGAATCGCATCCCGAACCCTTACACCCTAAACGCTTAAACTAGGTTTAGACGATCAGAGTTTGGGGTTTAGTGTGTCGGGGAGTCTTGCGGATCTTCTCTATTCCTGGTCTCGTCAGGTCCGGAAGGAGACACCTCCCGCACAGACACCGAGGCCGTTTTAGGGTTTAGGGTTCCGAAGGAAGTGGGGATCCCAAGGGTCTCGTTTAAGTTTAGGGCTTTCAGTGGTATCAAGGGGCCTGAATGAATTTACAGTGTTTATCATTCTGGAGGGCTCCCAAACAGAATGAAAGGCTTTCTCCTAGAGCAAAAGATCCCGAATGCATGGTTCAGCATGTAGCTGCCAACGGGGAGTCTGTCGCGAACTGTCTGGTGCTTCGGCATGTCCTTGGGAGCTTGTGCCCATGGTAAGATTGACTTTCAGAATCCCGGAATGGTCGAAAGGGCATCATGCCAACTGCACGATCCGGACAGTAAGTCAGTGAGAAAGCCTTGTGAACCAGAGCTGCTTGGAGAGGGCCGATCTAGAAGCGAGTGTAAACGGCGAAGGAGCACAAGCTGTGCATGTGAAATGATAGTCATGATGCTCTAGAGTAGATACCTCTAGACTCAACTACAGAAAGGAATCTTCTCCAGGTCCTGCACATGGTCTTCGCTGCGCGTGAGTGAGCCGCAGACAGCTGTGGCCTTCGTGGGCTTTTACTGTCCTGCGGCCACAAGCCCCTAAACCCTAAACCCCAATCGGACACAGCCTGGCGCATGTCTGAAAAGGCAGAAGTGCTCCCATGTTGTAAAGCATGGTCAAGTCCAACCGATGGAGGGGCTTCTTCTTACATCGTGCATAAACGCCCCAAATGTCTACGGAAGTGTATAGCTCATCGGATGCTTTCAAGTCTCTCAGTGGCCACCGACAGTAATGTCCTGGAAGTTGGCATACCCTAAAAGCTGAACCACATGGAGATGTTGGGAGCATCCTGGCCAGGACCACTTGCTGCTGCCATCTCCGTACCATCCCACGGAGAGAGTGAGGCAAGATTTGCTTGCGGTTTAGGGGTTACAACTCTGGAGTTTAAGGTGTATAGGCTTCAGGGCCAGAGCATTCAACTTGATATAGCAGTTGAAGCCATGGCTGTCTCGTGTTGACCACTCTTCACTATGTTGCTCTCGAGTCTTGGGGGATTGCTCGGGTGGCTTTAGCTTGGGAGGCCCAGCCGCGAGGGCTGCTGACAGTGAGACCTATTTTTCTCTTGTAATGTATGTCCTTGCTCCCAAACCCTGAACACTAGACCCTCACCCTAAACTCAAAGCATGAAGAGCGAAACGAATGCAGGTCTCTCCCCACCGGCTTGGCTGTCGTCATAGGCTTCGGCATGCACCTCAGCAGTTGCATCCGGTAAAAACAGATCCGTGCGTGATCACAGCTCTGCCCTGGTACGGCTTCTGAACCATGCTTAACTTGCGTCAAAGATGGGATCCTCAATGCCGACATGTGATTGAAAGAGAAAGAAGACATAACCCTTCGTTTCACTGACTGCCTTGACTTGATGTTCGGCCAAATAACACTACATTAACAATCGATTGCTTGATGTCCTCAGGCCCCCGAAATTTTTCGTTGGGCCTGCTGTGGAACATTTTTGGCCTCTGAGCCCAATGTCCCAGAACCCTTAACCCTATGAACCCGAAAACGCTCAAGATGGCAGTCGAAAGTGTGACTCCCCGCAAGACAGCAAAGCAAGCAACACCGGACTGAGGTTTGAGCGCATTGAAATGCTGCGGTGAAGATGCCTACAAAGACAGCGAGGAGGGACCTAAGAAACTCCCGTCTTGCTCCACAGCCGTCGCATGTCAGTAAGACTCATAAAAAAGGTTTCCGGTTGTCATGGCCAGCTGAAGACCATGCTGCAGGAAGTGCCCAAAAACCCAAACCTACACAAAAAGGCCTAAAGTGCCTAAAACCCTGAAACCCCAAGCCCTACACCAAAAAACCCAAACAGATGGTGGCGCGCCTGGCGATGCTCCACAGCAAGCACGTGGCCCCAGAAGAGCTCGCGCTGGAAGCGACTCGGCCCCAGGAAGTGGAGAGGATGCAAACTGCTATCCCTTCACATGGGATTGTAGTGTTCAGTGGGGTTTTATAGGGGCTGATATGGGTTGTAGGGGGTTTCATAAGGATGCGATTGCAACTTCTTAGCAGACGGGAAGCCACAGGTTTTGTTGAGCTGCATCTACAAAATCTCTATATTCGGGTGAATCCACAAAGTTCCCATTACGCTACGTCCTGTGACCCTTTGTGGCTTCAGAGGGCTTCGTCACGTGCTGTTCCATCGCTCCTGAACCCAAAAGCCAGCAATGCCCCAGTGTGGACACAAAAGAAGGGGATCCTAATTGCGAGGACTCCCCCAACTAGACCCCTAAGATGAAGAATCGCCCGGACTTCCCAAGGCCCCACAGCAGACAGCCTGAACGCTCGAATAAGAGGGCCTGAACCAACAATTCGTTTGTTCTTTAGAGTTCGCTCATGCACTTACAGTATAAAGCACCCCAAGACTCTAGCCTACCTTCAAGCCAAGGCATGTGAGTTGGTTGCTTCCATGCGGAAGAATCTTCACCAGTGGCCAGAGGATCAGGAGAGCTTCCACATTTTCGGTACGTTGGAGTTGATTTCTGACGGACTGCACGCTGAAACCTAAACCTACAAGTGTTCATACATTAATTAACACAGGGCCCACAAGCATCCACTGCACCTGCTGTACCGTGACGAGCAACACAACACTTCTGGTTATAATCTGGCACGTGCATGCCTCTGAGAGCATACTGAATGCATTGAACACCGTAATCTTGAAACCCCCAAGCCTTGAACCTCAAACCCTAAACCCAAACCTCCAATTTGTTTTCATCACCCTAAAGCTATCTCAAGCTTAGACTTTCAGGCAACCCCTCAATTCACAAATCTGGCAAACCCCACATCTCCTAAACCCTTAAAGGCCAGAGACATCCTGCACCATAACAGCCACACTGAAAAGCCCGCAGCCCTAGGCCCAAGTACTGAGACCATGGGTGTTAAGTACGGACCCCATTCAGGACGATCTTTTTCTGTGCAACTTCACGCGGATCTTGGTCGAACTGGCCAGATGCCAAGCTTGTTCTACGAGCTCGTGTTACTGTACTTTCCGAAAAGTCATACAGGTTCCGAGCAGTTCGTTTATGGCGTGCCTTCCATGAGGAAGATGGGAAGATGACTAGGATGAGAGCGAAGACAAGGACGACGACGGCGACGATGTTGATTTCCATTTCGATGACGATTACATTGTTGCATTTCGGCTATTCCTCTCCTTGTTCCGTCGTCCACAACTCTTATTTTTCAGCTGCTATTACATAGCATCAAGCTTGACACAGCTCCCCACACACACACACAATTGTGCCATTGTTTAGGTTGAAGCATCTTTTCCTTATGAAGTTTCTGTTTATGGTCTATGGCATCAGGATCCCCAGAATGTTCTTGTAGTATTAGGATCCTCCGTATAAAACCTCCGACAAAGGCCGGCAGGCATTCATGCGCCGAAGCGTGTTCTGAAGCATCTCTTGCGTGGAGAGTCGGGGCAAGTGTTCGAGTCGCCGAGGCCGAGAATACCGACCAGTTTGCAGGCTCCGAAGCATGGGTTGAGGGTTTCAGTGTTTCAGGCTTGTTTTAGTGCTTTGGATTTAACTTTGGGGATCTGTGTCGACGTTTGAGGCCGGGCTGTACGGGGTTGTTGAGTTTAGGGGTTTGCTCTAGGCGGGCTTTCAGATTCAGAGTTTGGGGTTTAGAGCTTTGCTTCATGCTTTTTGGGCTAAGGGTGGTGCAGTAGTTCAGATTTGGGGCAGGGGTGTGGGCGCCTGCAGATGATGCCGGCACCTTGCAGTGCACGATGAGTGAGTGTTTGGTGAGTCCGAACTTCGAGCCCGGCCCGGATTGACGTGGCTCGCGTTCTCCACTTTAAAGACTTGACAGTAGTTACCAAAAGCACCTGACGGAAGACCGCAGCCAGCTGGCGACTTTTCGGTATTCTCGTGTCAGCAAAAAGAAACCCTAAACCCTAAAACCCTAAACCCTATAAACCCTCAACCCTAAACCCGAAATAGCAGCATGCAATATGGCAACATGGGAGCGCAGGGCCTTGTGAAGCTCGAGGATTGATATCCCTGGCTCCGGTTGCTAAGCTCTGACGCAGGCCTTTGGGAAGACGTCCGGTGCCGGAAGCAGGCCATCGCCGATTGTGCTGGGAATTGCTGCGGCCTCAGACTCTGAGAGCCCCAATGCTAATATAGGGGCCTCAATAATTACCTATATTATTTTAGGGGCTCCTTGTTAGAATTATAGTACAATGGGCCGCAAAACCCTATTCTAACTATTAAGGCCCCTAAATTACTCCTTACTGCTCTTGGCTTGCACCATGCTTCAACGCGCGTAGAGTGCGAGGCGTGTAGAATGGCATACCCGACGGGTACCAGGCAAAGCACTTCAACAAGCATAGCCAACGGGGTTTGGGATTATTCTCAACTGCTAGGCAGACAGCTTGGTCGTAGAGGATGCAGGATGCGCCCAGAAGTCAAAGGCCAAATCCTTACAATCTGTAAATCATTGAAGCGAAACAACACCAAACCCTCTTCGATTGACTGAAGCCCTTGATTTTAGAGTTTCCATGAGCATCCCTGCAATAAGGTGATGAGCAGCTCATGACTCTGGCCCAGCAGACCCACTTTAGTTTGGAGGACCTGTGCTCTCATGCAACCTCAGGATCGAGACCTGGTAGGCTGATTTTACCTGAAGTTATCTCTTTGCGTTTACGTGAAGTTCTCTCTTTTCGATGCTTTTTTTGTGGTATTTTCTGTGATTTTTTAGCGGGTGGCTGTGGGGTGCGCCTTTGGCTGCTCTCGGAGTGCATTGTCATGAGAATGCTGGGTAGGCCTTTGGGGTATTTTTATATATTTTCCCTTATTGGGCTTAAGAGGACCCAATTTACTAATAGTTTTCAGAGGCTTTAAAGGGCCAACCAGGAATGGCAATCGGGGCAGACATGACTCGATGCGTGGAACTTGGGAGGAGATTGAGCTGCTACGGAAGCAGTTCCGCAAAATGCGGAACAGCAAGCAAGAAACGGCAACCTGGCGGCAAAGCTGCATGACCACGGCGGTGGGAACCTGCCTTCATTGATACGAATACATGTGCTGCCCTAAACCTTGAGCCCTAAACCTGCTGAGCGACGATTCATAGACCAGCCATGCTTCCCGTCGTCGCCTTTGTTCGTCGCATTTGTCGTGCGGCTTGTTGCACTCTCACGCAATCGTCCCGCGACCCTACACGGCCCTACACCATGAACTCTAAACCCTACGTGACATGGTAGTTTCAGAAGACGGTGGCGCAAGGTCCAATCTGGTGAAATAGTATAGAACCCCATGATCAATAGGATCCTCCATCTGGACCCCCAAAGAAGGTACCTAGTTTTCAGAAACCCTGCCTATAAACCCTAAACCGAGTCCTACGTAGCCCTGCAGCCTTAGTGTCCCCTGGCTGAGACTGTGCTGGACCTCAAGGGTTTCAAGGACCCGGCTTCCGGCTCCTAAACAGGTGTACTAAGCAGCTGTTCTTGAGGTCCCTTCCACGAAGGGTCGAGTTTTTGAGTTGCAGAGAGAGCAGGAGTTTACGAGTTCCGCAGACATCACAAAAATGTCCACAAACCAGCCATTGGGCCCTGCATGGTGAAGCACGAAGCAATATAGGTGCCATACTAATTACATTACGTAGGGTTACCGTATTCATTGCGCAGTTTGGGGGTCTATCATAAAGCATAAACACAGACGTACTAGAAGTTTAATATCAGTACTCAAGGTTGCAAGCAGTTGGAGGAAAGTTGTGCTGTAAATAGTCCGCGTTGAGAAGCTGTCGTGCCGTTGCACTCGTCGTGTTCCACTGCCAGAAGCACGCCCAGCCCCTTCGGCTTTGAGAGGAAGTCGTCAAGGAAGCTGTCCCCGAGTTTCCGCCGGAGCTTTGCGGCCGCCTCTTCCAGACACGTGGCGCAAGGATCACGGTTTGGGGTTTCGGTTTTTTTTAAAGGGCCCTTTAAGGTTTCGGGATTTTCAGGGCCCTTCAGGGTTTCGGGATTTTTAGGGCCTGAGATTTGGAAAGCATTCTCTTCAATGCATCATTGAATCACTTAATGATTCGCTGTGAGCTTTGGAGCACTATCGGTCCTGTCCGACAGGTCACGGGCCCCCCGAGCTTAAAGGTTTGAGGCTTGGGCCTAGGAGCACCTAAAAAAACCGGCCCGAAACCCTGAGCCACGGATGACGGGCGTTCAGTTGTCCATTGCAGCACCGGCAGAGCTTTGATACCCTAACCCAGCAGACCGACGAACCTGCCCAAAGCCGAGGAAGCTCGACTGCTTCGGTGCTGGAGCCTCAGAATATGAGTTTTTAGGGTTTAGGGTTTAGGGTATGAGCTTTTAGGGTTTAGGGTTTATAAGGTCTAGGGCACCGTCGAGACTCACATTGGTCAGCCCATTTGGAGCTGAGCTTAGGATCTAGTAGTGTTTAGTGTATGGTGTGGCTGCCGCACAACAGTTGCTACAATGGCTGCCTAAAGCGGTTGGAAAGAGTGTAAGACATGGCCCAGAGGCAGTGAAGAAGGAGACGATACCATGATACACTCACTCATCGTCAGCATCGTTCTGTCAAGTCTTGGTTGCAAGTTGTACAAAAACTGGCCTGATGGCTTGCAGACCCTGGCCTATGATGGCTTCATTCCATGACTTAGGTCCTTAGGTGATCGGCTCAAAGCCTGAAAGCCTAGACTCAAAATTGTGCTCAGTGCCTGCGAGCGTCTATGAAGCCCTTTCGACGCTAAACTCGCAACGCTTCAGGGTGTAACGTAGGGGGTGGGTTAGAGATACGTTATAAGAGTACCGGTGTACGGTTTCGGTCCCCTGACGGCAAGCACAGCGACTGCATTCTAAGATCGACCACAGAAGCATACGCACCACACCACCACACCTCCGATAGCTGCAAGCCTCCAACCCGCTCAAGTTACGTTTAGGGTTTAGGGGTTTAGGGTTTGCGGCCCGTCCTAATGATGAGGGACGACACAAGGGTCGAACATCAAGACTGTGGCCTTCCGCAGTTGTGCAGTTCTCTTTAACAGAGGGGCATGAATGTTTGGTAACCATAATATCATGACTTAGGGTTCCTCGTTAACATCTTGTAGCCAGTCCGAGAACAGTCTGTTCTGACTTTGAAGGCCTCTGTATTACTTTGGTACTCGAGAGTAACCTTGTGGAGCTGGCACCAAAGGTTGGTCGCCTCACATTCATGGAGCTGGCCTGTGGGATGCTCCGTGACTGAAGAGTGGGTTTAGGGTATCTCCGAATTCGGGCTACAGAGCTGAACATGGGAGGTTTAGGGGCCGACGCAATCGATACCTATACTGGCGCGTGCTGGCTCATTGAAGTCTAAGTCGTCTTCCGCAGCCGCCAGCCACACCCTGGACCTCAACACTGCAGTGAAAGCCGAGCTGTAGCGCCAATAGCATCTGTCCAGCAACAACAACATCAGCATCAACAACAACAGGAACAACAGTAAGGGCAACAGTCATTGCAGGAACAGCTATGGCAGCTATGGCACCTTTGCAGAATGGTATCAACAAGAAATCATGAGCAGCCACAGCAGACACCTCCATCAGCAAAGTAGGCACAGGACGCTGCAACAGGACGAGCGGGACCGCACCTGCAAGCGCAACGACTTTTTTGATGGGAGCAGCAGTAGGAAAACGAGCAGACGTAGCCCGGTCTAAATAGCCCTTATACAGTCCCTCTAGAATCTCCAACCCCCATTCTAAGTCTAAGTATTTAAGGGCCAGTATATTGCCGGCAAGGTCGGCGCTTGCTCTGGGAACAATGGATGAGAAGTTGCAGGCCACAGCGGTCAAGCTACAGATTCTGGACTTGGCTCCACGGCGAAGTCGTAGTGCATCATATACCCTAAAGCCCTAGGCCCGAAACCCTACACCATCAAGCCCAAGAAGTGAGGCGGACAGGACCAGTGTGCCATGCCGAAGCTGTCGCCGTATGCGTGAACGATTAGTCTGGTTGTGCAGTGTATGAGTGGCCTTCTTTTCAAGAAAGGTGCATTCAGAGCAGGTGCCGATGTTGTACTATTGCTGCTTATGCGGTGTGTGTCGGCCTCGAGTGAGACCTTAGTAGGATTCAACTTGAGGGTTTGTGTAAGACCCCGTTCTGGATGTCACCTTTGTTGGCAAAAGTTAAAATGGGTTCTACGAGTCGCTCGAGTCCATTCCCTGGAACCTTTTATCTGTGAGCGCAGAATTTAATAGGACGTGTTTGGTTTCAGATGCCATCGGAGCGCATTGTGGCGATTTTCCGTTGCCATGCCCGAGACCTTACGGATATAATAATTGTAAACGCTTCGCGTCGTCCGCCTCGGCGAAGGGGGTGGGGGGGAGAACGGGAGGAACAGAATCTTGCTCAGTGCCTCCAACGACACTTCACCACCTGAGCCTGGGGACTGAATTGATCCAAAGGAAGAAGCAGGGGGGGAAGGGGGGGGGTCAGGTGGGAAGCTCTGACAGGGGTCGAGGCGAATTTCACCCAGACCTTGTACCCGAAAGTCCCGAACCCCGTTCTGCAGACGCAGGTCGGGCGACCAGCATCTAAACCTTTGCTCCTGTTGCTGTTGGCCATAACCCGGAAGGTGTGCTTTGATCTGTTCGATTCCGAAGGCGGGAAAGGGCCAGCGTTGGTGGCAAGCTTTGTGTCAATTGGCATTCTCGCATTTTGGCGCTCTGAGAGTTCGTAGGCTCTTCTGTTTCCAGTCGTACGACTGATGCTAGAGTCCTGGTCGTTGGGTTTCTTGTGCCTACTAAGGTTTACTAGTACAATAATAAAACGCTTCGACTGTCTGACGTTGCTGCTGCCTTCCAGTGTGTTTCCAGGCCGGCGGGCGCTGACACTCAAAGATCTCAATGATCTTTGCAACTGGGCACTTGTTTGAATGCATTTTTGCAGTTTTTTGGTATGGTATGGCCTGATCGGGGAAAAAAGATTACAGCTCCCCAAAACTCCGTACGACAGCCCAGGCACGACACTCTTTAAAGTGGCCCTGTCGCATGGCTCGGTGAACCGGAAAGCTTCCACAGACGAGGCGGGTTGTGAGCAGACGAAGAGGCTCCTGTGAGAACCCGTGGATAACAACATGATATGGAAAAACAATCATACACATACATACATGTAACATGTATTTATTCATTTAGAGAAGGGAGAGAGAGAGAGAGAGAACGTAGACTGTACCATGTACGGCACATCGTATTCCATACAATGTTTAGATAAATAAAAAAATATCTACATATATATATACACACAATCATACATGCGTGTGCGCATGCGTGTATATATATATATATCTCCGGTTTTAGTGCTTCAATCTATGTACACACTCCATGAACCACGCAATCTCAGATCAGACGAAACAGGTATTGTGCGAGGCTCAAAGTTGGAGATGCTCTTTGTGATGCCAGCGAAGCCGGGGTTCTAGTCATGCTGCTTGTTGATTCGATTCTTGTGGCTCTCATGATGCTGAAGACAGTTCGTGCAACAGAACCATTAGCCTGAAGATGCGAAAATCCTGAAAAATCTTGGCCGTCGCAGCGGAGGTCATGGCCATGCAATCAGGCGCCTTGAGCCAAAGGCGAGGGGAATGGATGCTTTCGGAGCTGTGGATCGGGCTCCTCTTGACGTACGGTCCTAGCCTTGCGCAGTCTAGGGCCTAGGGCTACGGTCACGCGTTGCAGGGCCTCGGCAAGCCCAAAGCCAAAGCCCCAAATCCCTGAAGAAAAGCTGGCAGTATTGAAGCCCTGAATCTCTAAAGCCATCTGCCTTGCGCCTTGATATACCGCCAAAACACCGCAACCCTAAGACTTAAGATAGGGTACCGGTCTGAATATGTTCCCAATCATATTCGGGTAGAGTCCATATTCTCTCTCTCTCTCTCTCTCTCTCTCTGTCTATATATATGCACACAGAGAGACACACAGTCTTCGTGTGCATATATATATACACATATATATATATGCCTCAGTACAGATATATGTGCATACATAAATAAATAAATGCATAATTACATACATACATACATACATACATACATACATACATACATGTAGAACTATACAGTTATGCTATGTCACACGTTCAAGTGGCCTTCCCTGCGCAGAAGCTCCGAGACCGACCTGCCCTTCCCCATGACGCCGCGCCTGGGACGACCTTTCAACCTTGGGCTTGAGGGCATTTATGAGGCTTTAGGGTTGTAGAGTTTCGGGTTTAAGGCTTTGGTGTAAGTTTTTAGGGTTATAGGCTATAGGGTTGGAAGATTTCTGGGTTCAGGGTTTAGTGCTCAGAGTTGTGCGGCTTCAGGCATGGGGGAGAATCGCGAAGTGAGGTTGATAAAGAGTCTATGACTAATTCTTATGGTGCTGTGAATGGGCTACAAACGAGACAGTCTGTACGGTCATTGCGGCAGTCGTGACCACAAGAGGAACAGCAATAGCACTGCCAGAGCTTAAGCCCGGAATCTTGAACCCCAAGCCCCAAACCCTGCAGCCTACAGTTATTAAACCACAAACCCTAAGCCTTGAGCCTTGAGCCGCTATAAAGCCCTTTCAATTTCGCATAAATCCGTATCACATAAGCTGCACAAGCCCAGAGCCTGCCGAGCCTAAACCAACCGAGGCCCATGAGACCCAGCTCGGTCATCGTTGTGGGGCGTGAGAAGGTCAGGGCCAGCGCTGGGACCTTGGAGGTCCCATTACCGTTCCTATTGCCACTAATTACCATGATTAGTCCGATGATGAATTTATCTCCATTGTTGTTATTACTATTGCTCTGCTTTTTAGTGGTTACAGATTAGGCGGCCATTTTTTGTTGCAGGGGCTCGACCTTCCGGTCGAATGCTTCGGTGCATGAAATCCTGAGCTTTCGGGTCTGTTGAGAGCTCAGTGGGGAGAGGAGAAGGAGACTAAGTTCAACTGGAAGAGAAAATGTGTGAGCATGTGGAAGTTCTGGACTTGTTGGTGGTTTGCTTCATGTTCTCGGAGTTGGTGGTTGCTGCATGATGATGTCGTTGCTGATGATGGTAATGGTGATAGCGGCGATGGGGAGGCCGGTGATGTTTGCTGCATGGTACAAAAAATAGTGATAGTGCTAATTGCGCATCAACGATTGTGATAGTGGCTATCGTTGAGTTTGCCATCTGCTTCGACATATTCTAGTCCTGGCAGCGTTTCACACTAGACTTGTTTTCACCTTCTTATATTCTTATGTGTCGTTTCGTGCTTAAGGTTTACGCCAATTATCTAACGTTCTCGCAAAGTGGATTGACTACTATCGGTGCTCCAGAAGAGCCTTCTACCGCTGCAATTCAGAAGGGATCTAAGCCCCATAGCTGTAAACGTTCAACCCTGAAGACCGAAACCCTAAACGGCCCTATAATGTAAGCCTGCCTGCCGTTACATCTTGTCTAAGAAGGGAGGTTAACCCAGGCTCCCGCCGAAATTACGAAGTCCATCACGATGGATGACCAGGACCGCTTCAGACGTGCCAATGTCGAAAATGCCTTGCAAGTTGAATAAGGATTTTCAGGGAGAACATAATTCCTTCTCAAAGTCACACTGGAAGTGCTGTAAGCAGCGCTCAAAGTGCATGAACGTTGACATGTTCATGGTTTGCGGCATGTTGTGAATGTTTCTTCAGTCACTGCTCATATGGCGGAAGATGGCAGGAGCTCCCATCACGGTCGATGCTTCTGAGGCTGCTCGCTGCAGCAAAGGCGCCTCTAATGAGCTTCAAGACATCGCCCATTCTCTAGCAATTACGGGTCTGCAACACATGACACGGGCACTGCTCCCTTCAGGTGCACACCCCTGGCGGGCAGAGGCTTGTAGCCTACGAGGACAGGGGTTGGATGTGGGCAGGCAGTTCAAACTTTCGAAACCCAATCTTCCGGCAGCGTCGCATTGAAACCCAGTGGCCATGACTACTTGCCAACACCAAATCTGAGACGGTGGCCAATCTCGAACCACCTGGAGTCCATCATTCGAGCTCCCTTGCAGTCGGGATCGGCACTGCTGCAACAAGCCTCCAAGGCAACGCACACAAGGCAGACCGAACGAGAGCGAGGACTCATGGGGCCTCCCATTCGGTGCAGGACTTCTGCAGTGTGGCACGCATGGAGCCAGCGCTGCTGTGCCTTTTCTCCTGGTAGCTTGGTCCTGCATCAGCCTAATCTGCCTCTGCAGGTTTAGAATAGAGCCTGAATCCCAAGCGTAGCCCCCAGAGAGTTCATGGATCAGGTTTGCTTTCAGTCGAAGTATTTCCGTGGATTATCCGCACAATGAAACGATTGCTGTGGTCGCACCAGTCGGCAGAAATCCACCCCCCCCCCCCCCCAAACCCAACCCTTTTCCAAAAAATGAGAACTATACCCTATGGTGAACTTCACTGCTAATCCTCAAAACAACCAGTATATATCAATGTCAATGTTAGTATGAAAAGGATTGCTACGCCCTGACTTAAGACAAACCGAAGCACCAAACCGCGAACGCCGCGAACCCCTCGAAGGCTTCATGTTTCGATTGAAGCTAAATTCCTTCGTTAAGGGGGATTGGGCTCTCTGGGAGTCTGTTTCCCATGATCTGATCCCTATGTCTAGTTACTAGACTAAACCCTAGAAGCCCTGTCCTACCCATTATGATTTCTACTAGTATCCCCTTGCGGTCCCTACATGGATACTTTGCACCTCAAGCACCCCAAAACCCTATTCGAGTCATTCAGGGCCCTATATTCGCTTTTGGGATCAGCCCTAAACCCTAAACCCTAAAACCCTACACCCTAAAGCCTTCCGGTGTCCAAGGTGCCTACCAAGACCGCCCGAGCCACTTGCAACGCATTTCGGAAGCTTCCGACTTCGGATGTTGGATGTAGGATTTAGGAGTGCAGGGTTCTAGTTTTAGGGTCTTTAGAAGGTCTCCGCTGGGATTTCAGGGCTCTGGACTGTTTTTTTTGAGGTTTCTGCCAGGAGTTCAGAAGGATTCTGTAAAGGATCAATGATCAGAGGCTAGAGGCTATGCGGGTTGCACTTTGGCATTCATCATTTTGGGGATTTGAGGCCTTGGGGTATGGAGCTTGCCGGGACGGGGAATTTGCAAACTGGAGCAAGATCGATTCATGCGTTAGCTCCGAGATGAAGCTTTTTCATGTGTGGCCCACCCGGAAACCCCCAAAGGCCCGTCGTTGCGGAACATACCCTCAAGCTTCTTCTTATTTTTTGTACATAGGGCTCTTTCTGTTCCTTGCCAGGCGAATGCCCGTCTTTATGTTCGAGAGTACAACGCTTGGCTTGAGACAGCCGGGCCTTTGCGCGAGGGTTCGCCGCACGTGCGACCGGATTCGCTGCTGGTTTCGACGACGAAGCTGATGTTGCAAAAAGAGTGTGCCTGAGCCCTAAACCCTGAACGTTAAAGGCTCTACTAGTAGCTGCATGTGATATAACTTCCACCTACGCAAATCCCTGCACCCTCTCTCGGTCACCCCATGACCCCTCCACCCCGAAATCTCTGACTCCCAAAGCCCTTTCCGTTCATAGAGGGTTTAGAGCTTCAGGCTTCATGAAGAAAGGTCTCAGCTTTTGGGTTTGGGGCAGCTTAGGGTGCCAGGATGCAGCTTTACCGAACGTCCACAATACGCAACAATGGGGGGTCCCGGCAGTCCCTGTCTTCCTGCTTGGCCTCGAAACTTACCGCCCCTTAAGAACCCACGAATGTTGGATGAAGAGTGCTCGATAGATACACCGCGTTCGTTTCGCCGTCCTCGCGGCTCAGAATCCTCTGGGACTTCCCATAGACAGTTTGCAGCTAAAAGTAGAGCAGCTTGTATGCCCATTACAGCCACCCGTACCGTTCAACAGCAATCCGTCTTGAAAGCACCGGTCAAGGTCGATAGAAAGAAGAGGGTTCGTCGCTTGGCCATGTGATCCACCGATTTGTCCTTTCTTGGCGCGGCCATTAACTCATCTGGCAGGCCCGGGTTTGATTGCTGCAACTCTTGGAGCCTAGTCCCTGTAAGCCTTCAGAAAGCCCTCAAAACCCCTACAACAAGCCCCGAGATTGCTCAATCACCTAATCTCAACCTGGAAGGCTAACCCCGAAGAAGCCCCTCATAAACTCGAGCAGTCCTAGAGCTCTCAGCCCTCAGCAAGTCTCGGGCTCCTTTGGGAATGAAAACCCAGGCCCAGGGCGAGATGAGGGTTAAAGAGGCCAGAAGAGCTCACTGTTTTTGATGAAGGGGGTGGGTTGAGATTTTGGGTTTATAGGTTTCATGGGTTTAAAATAATGAGGTGGTTTCGAACAGCACGAAGCCTCGGAACTAAGCTTTGGCATCATCGCCGGACTGATACAGCCGGCACAAGACTACTCTAACTGGTGGTTGAGGTTTCTCACATACGTCCGCAGTGGTTCTTAGAGGTCCAAGGGGATTGGCCAATGCATGGCAACAGGGGTGCCCGACCCCAATTACAAATAAGTCTTCGCATGTACCTTCATGTCTTAGGAGCGATATGAGGTAGCACAGGCACCAAGGGTCTTTCGTGATGACAGCTCCGTGGCGCTTCAGGTGTGTTTTTGTTTCCGTTGTCTAGGGTAGACGTGCAGGACGAGAGATAGTGCAAGAGTCGTAAGATGCATAGATACACCGAGCCAGAGCCTGGTCGCTTAGCTTTTCTCTATAGGTTTTAGGGTGTAGGTTTTTTTTGGTCGTCCAATATCATGAAATCCTCTGCACATCCGTACGCTGCAGAAGCCGTGACGAACGATGCAGGATCTGAACGGCTGCCCGATGGCCAAAGCCTGCCCGGCTTGTTGTTGTCGTGTGCTCGAGCATTCTGCTGGGAAGCCTGGAATGTGGGATGTGTTGAGAGGTGTTGCTGGGTTTATGTGGTTCATATAGATATCCGTCCGATCGAAGTTATTTGTGTGTTTGGGGCTTGCCCGGAGTGAGCCTTGCGGCAGGTGGGCAGTGCGGAAGACATCCCAGAAGATGGAACGAACGCGCGAGTTGGGATGTTCTCAGCGAGGTTTGATCGAAGCCCCACAGAGACGCTATTTCGAGGAGTGTACCAAATCTTGAAGGAGAAGAATTATCCAGTACTGATGGTAGACGCAGCAGCGGGCAAGAGCTTCGGCAAGTTGACAGCAGCTTACCTGGGGAAACTCAAAAGGGAGAAAGGAGTTTTGCTCGCGGTATGCACGTGGCATTATGCCGAGGTAACAGACTCAAAGTTCTCATCGTACGAGGAGCTCCGAGTTGCCCATGAGAACGGGCTCGACATCCTGCCCCTGCGAGTCTGCGACGACCCGTGGCCGCCGGAGCCACCCTGTGGCCCAGAGAACAAGTACGACGAGATGGGAGAAGGTGCGGGACTTCTCGATCTAGCGATTGGGCAAGCGACGGTCTACGTAGACTGCAGAGGCAAGGATGAGAACTACATCGCTAAGAAGATTGCCGAGACGCTTCTTCCCGGCGGCCGTCGCCCTTCAGGGCACGGAAAGGCAGGGCACGAGACAGCTGAAATTTGAAGCCGGGTTCGTACTTCAAGGCTCCAGGATCTGCCGCACAAAAGCTCAATAGCTTCGAACCCGGAGAGTGAGTCGTGGCACATGTTGGCATCGGAATGAGCTGTGAAAGGAGAGCGGATCTGCTCCTCCCGCCTTTTCTTAACTCTTCTGGTTCCCATGAAGCGGAGGTGGGCTCTGGCGCTTCAAGGACCGCAGGGTACAGCCAGCAAGATACCAAGGCTGGACCCGGGAGGGACCCAAAGTCTCGATGGTTCTTGCTTGTGGTGTCTTGGCCAGCTCTAACCGCACTGGCTGGGTGTGTACCGGTTAAGGTCAAGAGTCAGTGGATTCTTTCATCACGAATGGGAAATAGTACGGTTCTTGTGCCTTGCATGTGCCCGGAAGTGCTTCAATTCTTGAGAACTCTCTCGGAAGTTGGAAAGCCGGACTTGTGCAGGTTGCTCACAATTTGTCCCCAGTCCGACTTGTCCCTAAACTTCAATCAAGAATTCACAGCACCTCAGTGGGGCAAATGCTTTGGCGGCCGAAGCTCCTGAGCGCCGCCGGACTTCAGCAATCAGTGTGCGAAAGATCTTGCAGAGTCAGAGACGGAGTCGGGCCCGATGTGTTGGCCGGGAAACGCCAAAAGCTTTGATTTGCCTCTCTCCGTCACAGTCCGCGGTCCCGAGCGCTTCGCCCAGCCCCGCAGCTGCCGCAGAAGCCCAGGCAGGGCTCGCCGGGGATGGGCGGCCAGGTCTCAATTCAAGTACTCCGTAGCTGAGGCGGAGTTGTTTCTACTGCGACGTGCGGATAGAGGGGGTTTGTTCAGGGTATACTGCAGGGACCTGGCAGGGCGCCGGGGCCGCCAGTAGAGGCCTGTCAGTCTAAGAAGATCTTTGGCAAGATGAGTTCGATGAAACGGGAGCCTTGCATGGGCTGGAGGGAAGCAAAGCGCGGCGGAAGCTGCACCAAGCTGCCCCAGGGGTCACAAGACTTTCGGCATCGTTCGTCTTAAGACGTTATCATGAGCTCGAGCTTCTCTTTGCAATGTAGTGGGTTCGGTCAGACCTTCGTTGTAAACATCTTCTGAATTTGCGTAAAAAAGTCCGAAATGCCACCCCCTTTGCCTGCTCGAAGAACGACCTTATGCCCCGCCAATCCGTTCGCAGCCTGTCTCTATTCCTTCAATCCCATCGGGCCGCGCGGCTCTGTGCACAAGCACATGTCGTGCTGAGCGTTCATTGTAAGCTTTCCATCTCGAAGCAGTCACAGAATTTATCAGGCGGCTGCCCGGCGTTCACAAAAAAAGGCCTAGGTGACGGTACCCTAGAAAATTAATCTTAATCATGGCCGCTTGACCTTGACACACTGCCAGGAGTGGTGCGACTTGGGCTCGAGAGGTGGGGGCAAGCGCAATGGCCAGAGGTACTCAAAGCAGGACGGGGCCGCCCGAGTGCACATGGGAAGAGGGACGGAGTACCAGGGGCCCATTTGTCCTGAAGCCCCTCGATGTATAGCGATCTACATGGGGTGCCCACCAGCCAACCTACGCAGACGTATGGCGATCTAGTTGGGGACCTCCTAGGCAGCGACTCCCAAGGGCCCCAAGAAGTAGGACACAAGTCGATCCTGGGCTTGTGGTAGATTGTTGAATTGGAGAGGAAAGGTCTCCAGCAGTCATACGTCGTAAGTCGCACTCCGAAACTTTTAGAGCTCACACACCCTGCAGGGCCTGACGCCGGAAACGTGAGACACCCAGAGACCTCAAATAGTCCTCAACGTCCTGTAAAGCTCGACCCCGATTCGCCCCTTACTAAACGAAAACGCGAGAAAAAGCAAGAACTTGCAAAGCTTTGGCCTGAACGGCTATGGAACATCGGCCTCCCTGCTGCCAACTTGCGTATGCACTTCTGCAACGCTACAATTTTGCCGCTCGGTCTGGGACCCTCGTACACGGGAGGTTGACGGGACTCGCATGTGGCCGGTTTTTGAAGTCCAGCTGTAAACAAGGGCGCGAGGTCGCTCCCAACTCCCGCTGCCCCGGCCCCTTGCAGGACTGTTACGTGAAGGCGCTGGAGCTGGATGAGAACTATGCCCGTGCGTGGAGCAACCTCGGACTCGAAGGCGGCGGCAGCGTGAAGGGCCAGGCCTATGATGAAAAGGACCGGCCCGGGGGGAGGGAATGGATCTTTGGGCCTGTCAGAGTTTGTGGCTTCCGGTCGTGAATGGCAGGCCGAGGGTTTGTTTTCTGCCCGCTGCTCCGTTCAATCGCAGCGGCTCCCAATACAGTCGATGACCGATGACCCCACAAACGCCCGAAGGTCCTTAAAACCGGAGGCCACGAACTTGAGACACTTGAAGCCGCAAGTAGCCTACTTGTAGTTAGGGGTGGGGGTCTCTTCCCACAAGACAAGCCTGCTCCTGAGCAGGGGCGGAGGGAGCCTAGCATTCTTCAAGACCCAGAAGGTTCTGGAGCCCGCTGAAACCCACAACCTCCCGAAGAAACTTGAGCCTGTCATGTAGAGAAGGTCTCTTGCAGTCATAGGTGGGCAATCCCAAAACCTGCAGGGCTCACACCACTGAAATACCCTGACACCCGAAACCTGAAGCCCCATACGAGAGAGGCCCCAAACCCAAGCGCTTCAAAAGACCGTGCAGATTTGCCTCAAAACTTGAAAGCCCGCCTTGTTCCTTTGAAGGCCGAGGAAGTCGGAAACCCCAAAACTTTCGAAACCATCCAACAGCATGCGCAGTCCTCATGTACATAAGCTCTTTCAAACTTTCGAAAATCATCCGTTTCTGCCGCTTCGGCCTCGGGAGCCCGTTATTCAGCTTCGCATGCGGCCGGTTTTTGAAGTCCAGCTGTAAACAAGGGCGCGAGGTCGTTCAGAACTCCCGCTGCCCCGGCTCCCTGCAGGGCTGTTACGTGAAGGCGCTGGAGGCGGATGAGAACTTTGCGAAGGCGTGGAACAGCCTCGGAGTCGAAGGCGGCGGAACCGTGAAGGGCCAGGCCTATGGTGAAAAGGACCGGCCGGGGGGAGGGACTAGGGCTTTGGCCCTGTCAGAGTTTGCGGTTTCCGGTCGTAAATGGCAGGCCGAGAGTTTGTTTTCTGCCCGCTGCTCCGTTCAATCGCAGCGGCTCCCAATACAGTAGATGACCCCGTGACCCCACAGACGCCCAAAGGTCCTTGAAACCGGCGGCCATGAACTTGAGACTCTTGAAGCCCCAAGTAGGTTAGGTCTCTTGCAGTCATATGTGGGCAATCCCAGGACCTGCAGGGCTCACACCAAAGAGAGGCCCCCAAACCCAAGCGCTCCAGAGGTCCCTTGAGATTTGCCCTTCTGAACTTGAAAGCCCCGCCTTGTCCTTTCAAGGCCGAAGAAGTCGGAAACCCCAAAAATTTTCGAAACCATCTAACTGCATGTGCAGTCCTCATGCACATATAAGCCGACCAAGCAATTCTTTGTCAAGCTTCCGAAAAGCATCCGTTTCGGCCGCTTCGGCCTCGGGAGCCCCGTTTTCAGCTTCGCATCTGGCCGGTTTTTGAAGTGAACCACCGCTGCCCCGGCCCCCTGCAGGGCTGTTACGTGAAGGCCCTGGAGCTGGATGAGAACGATGCGCTGGCGTGGAGGAACCTCGGACTCGAAGGCGGCGGCAGCGTGAAGGGCCAGGCCTATGATGAAAAGGACCGGCCCGGGGGGAGGGAATGGGGCTTTGGGCCTGTCAGAGTTTCCGGGAGGCGGAGGGTGTGTTTTCTGCCCGCTGCGCAGGTTTCCGCAGTCGCACAGTAGGAACTTCCAATGCTATGCCCGAAGCTCCCTGAAACCTGAGACCCCAAATCCCTGGACTCAAGCCAAATACCCTGACACCCGAAACCTGAAGCCCCATAAGAAAAAGGCCCCAAGCACAAGCGCTCCAAAGGACCCTCGACCGAGACTCGCCCCTTCTAAACTTGAAAGCCCGACTTGTCCTTTGAAGGCCGAAGAAGTCGGAATCCCCAAAAACTTTCGAAGCCACCTAACTGCATGTGCAGTCTTCATGTACATATAAGCCGGCCAAGCAAGTCTTTCCAAATTCCGCAAAGCATCCGTTTGTGCCCGCTGCGCAGGTTTCCGCAGGCGCAGAGTAGGAGCTTCCAATGACCTTCAAAGACACCCGAAGCTCCTTAAAAACAGCACAATCCTTAACCGAAGACTCTTGCTGAAAGCTGAGGGGAGGGACTAGGGCCAGGGCCTTGGGCCTGTCAGAGTTTCCGGGAGGCCGAGGGTGTGTTTTCCGCCCGCTGTGCAGGTTTCAAAGCTTTGCAGTCCTGGCTATTCTTTTCAAGCTTCCGAAAAGCATCCGTTTTTGCCGCTTCGGCCTCGGGAGCCCCTTTCAGCTTCGCATGTGGCCGGTTTTTGAAGTGAACCACCGCTGCCCCGGCTCCCTGCAGGGCTGTTGCGTGAAGGCGCTGGAGCTGGATGAGAATGATGCGGGTGCGTGGTTCAACCTCGGATGCGTCGGCGGCAGCACCGTGAAGGGGCAGGACTATGATGCAAAGGACCGGCGGTGGGGAGGGACTAGGGCCAGGGCCTTGGGCCTGTCAGAGTTTCCGGGACGCCGAGGGTGTGTTTTCCGCCCGCCGTGCAGGTTTCCGCAGGCGCAGAGTAGGAGCTTCCAATGACCTTCAAGACACCCGAAGCTCCTTAAAAACAGCACAATCCTTAACCGAAGACTCTTGCTGAAACCTGAGACCCCAAATCCCTGGACTCAAGCCCCCTTGCAGGCCCAAAACGTCCCAAAGCCCAAGTCTTCCCAAAGCTTTGCAGTGCTGGCTAGTCTTTTCAAGCTTCCGAAAAGCATCCGTTTTTGCCGCTTCGGCCTCGGAACCCCCTTTCAGCTTCGCATGTGGCCGGTTTTGAAGTGAACCACCGCTGCCCCGGCCCCCTGCAGGGCTGTTACATCAAGGCGCTGGAGCTGGATGAGAATGATGCGTTTGCGTGGAACAACCTCGGAAACCGAGGCGGCGGAACCGTGAAGGGGCAGGACTATGATGCAAAGGACCGGCGATGGGGAGGGACTAGGGCCAGGGCCTTGGGCCTGTCAGAGTTTCCGGGAGGCCGAGGGTGTGTTTTCCGCCTGCTGTGCAAAGGACCCTTTGAGCTTTGCCTTCTAGGCTTGAAAGCCTCATGTACATAAGCCGGCTACGCAATTCTTTCAAAATTCCGCAAAGCGTCGTTTCAGCCGCTTCGGCCTCGGGAGCCCGATTCAGCTTCGCATGTGGCCGGTTTTTGAAGTCCAGCTGTAAACAACGGCGCGAGGTCGTTCACAACTACCGCTGCCCCGGCCCCCTGCAGGCCTGCCACGTGAAGTCCCTAGAGCTGAATGAGAAGAATGCCGCTACGTGGTACAACCTCGGACTCAAAGGCGGCAGCACCGTGAAGGGGCAGGCCTATGATAAAAAGGACCGGTGGTGGGGAGGGACTAGGGCCAGGGCCTTGGGCCTGTCAGATTTTCCGGGAGGCCGAGGGTCTGTTTTCCGCCCGCTGTGCCGGTTTCGGCAAGACAGAGTAGGAGCTTCCAAAGACCTTCAAGACACCCGAAGCTCCTTAAAAAACAGCACAATCCTGAAGGCTCTTGCTGAAACCTGAGGCCCCACAAGAGACCCCAAATCCCTGGACTCAAGCCCTTTGAATGCCAAAAAAAACCCCAAATCTTCGAACAAAACCTTTGCGCAGGTACAGGGCCAAACCCAGATTGAACGAAAAAGAATCCGGCGGGCCATTGTCTCGCAGGACTGCTTTGTGAGGGCCCTTGAGCTGAACGAGAACGATGCCCGTTTCTGGCGACAGCTAGGTAAGGCTGGCGGGGGGACCGTACGCGGCACCCACTACGTCCCCGACGAGTGCAAAGCCAAAGCTGCAGGGAAGTAATGCGTGAGAGCATCAGAGAGTGGGCCTTGCTGTCTGAACTCGTTTAGAAGAAGTGTCTCCCTGGCTTTGCAGCTCGTCTTCATGCCTTCCGGAATGCAGTCCTGTGCTGCAGCTTTCACCCAAGTTACAGCCGACATTCCGGCAGAGCCGAATGTCAGCAAGAACGAGATGCTTCTGACAGACCCTCTTCAACAAAAGCCCTCTTCAACAAAAGCCTCGAAATCCTATGAGGCCGAAACACATCGCATCCTTATGCTCTCAGTCGAAGCAGCTCTTATTCTCCTTTCGCAAGCGAAGCCACTGAGGTGGGTTAGCGGCTATGCCAATCGAAAAACAAAGCAGGGCTGAAAGATGCTGAATCAAGGCCCTAACGAAAGCCCTGAAACCCTAAGCGACAAGTATCCTAAGCCTAAGCACCTTCAGCCCTCAGAACTACCATCCTAGACCCCGAGTACCTAATCATGGCTGAATGAGTTACTCGTTTTCAGCCTTGAGCTCCCGGTCCCCGACTGTTGAGTGAGAAGCCAATTATGGGCCTTTCGATATCATCCTGAAGCACTGCTCAGCATTATCATTATGACTAGATACTACACCGTCGTCATCATCATGATCACCATCATCACCACCATGATTATCAGTTTCATCATCACCACCATGATCATCATGGTCATCAGCCGCAGGCCTTTAGAACAAAGGGTTCTTTAAGAAATCCTTAATTCGAAAGGTTATGCTCATATCTTATGTCAGAGGCCAAGTGTTGAGGGTTGAGGGTTTTCGCTGCCTGCTCTCGGGCATATGCCCTCAACCCGAAGACCCTAAACCCTAAAGCCCTAAAACCCTAAAGCCCTAAAATAACCCTAAAGTCCTAAACCCCAAGACCCTAGACCCCAAAACCCTAACACCCTAAAACCCTAAACTCTAAAACCCTAGAACCCTAAGCCAACTGAAGGAGGAGGTCCCCAGTCAGTCTTGTCAACTACCTGGGCCCCCATCGATCCTCTCCTAGGCTCTTGTTAAAGGATTTAATTTAAATTACCATGATGGGGATCTATAGTAAATAATCTATGGTTTCCTTACTATGGTAACTTAAAATAAATCCTTTAACAAGAAACCAGTCTCTTAGACCCTAAGTACTCACTGTTTGGGACCATATACCCCTGTTTCAGGGTAGTGGTATTAAGTCTCCTTTGATGAACCAAATGTATATATTGACAGGGTCCTCACGGTAAGACTGGACAAGCCAACGGAAGGTTATGTCTAAACCCTAAACCCTGGTTTCAGGGCGCTGCGCTTGCCCCGATGGCTGAAGCTTTCTAATCTTGCGGCTCACGGGCACTCGATGCATTCTTTCACAGCAAGCCGTACGATCTACGCCCTCAATGTTGGGCTCTAAGACCCACGGAACCCTCCAGAAGTCACCTATGCAATCCCATACAGAACCGTTTGCACACCCTTCAGCATCCATAAGCTATCGGCATCCCAGGACCGGCTTGGTAAGGCATAGCATTACCAAGTCCGAGATCATGGTAATAGGAACCTACGGGAGCTCGGTGTTCTTAGGCCCCAAAACCTTGCCAGACCCAAAGCCCCCCTGAAATGACCCTTCAAAGTAAGGGCCTATATACCCAGAGACTATGACGTCCTAAGTCTTGCATGTTACCTAAGCCTTATAGACCCTTTCAGGGTACGTTTCGTCTTCAAGGCCATGGCGTATCGCGGAGTGCCGGTTCCCACTTCCGCTCCCTTGCGATCTGCGGTGGCACCCTGCACGCCGGAGCGGGCGAGGCCTGCAATTGTACATCCATACACAAAATAGATGCATCCAGGCGCAGCGTGATTATGAGGATCCAGGCGATACTGCAAAATCATGCCAACATGCGATAAGAGCATTTGTTTTCAGCATGAAAGGTGGGAACGTGCTATGCAGACCTCGGTAGACTCGGAAAGAAGCATGAGGATTTAAGGATCAGGGCTTAGGGTTCAGGTTCAACATGCAGGATAGAGTCGGTCAGAGAAGGATGGAGGAGTGTACTAGCCGAGCATGGAGGAGCATAGTAGCCGAAATGTGAGACCCTGCTCAGGCAGTTGTGGCATCTTAGCAGTGTACGTGAGTCTCTCTGTCTCTCTCTCTGTCGTTTCTCTTGTTCTAAAAACCCTACACCCTAAGACTTAAGCCCTTGAACTTGAGCAAACTCGGCTCTCTTTTTAGGGTTGAGGGTTTAGGATGGTTTTCGGTTCAGGGCTAACCCAAAAAACAGGGACCCACAACTCCGGACCATCCGTTGCATACTACCAGTACCTGAACAAAACTCCTTGGGCTTGGTAGGGGCATTTGTTTGGGGTTTAGGGCTTCAGTCCCCAAGCCCATGAAGTGCTAAGTTTAAAACTCCAGGGGTCGGCGCTCGGCCTCGCCCTTGTCACCGTCTCCGTCATGGTTGCTTGGCGGGGAAGAGAGGGACATTTCTGGGCAATCTAGGGGTTCGGAGGAACTAGAAAGACCATCCCCCTAAAGTGCCTTCTTTGATTATAGTGTGATCGGAAGAAGTAGCAAGTAGTAAGCATATCCCGTTAGAGTACCTTTTTCGATTATCGTACAAAACTCGAGTGCTGCTGCTTCTAGCGTGAGCACTGCTAGTTCGCGACAAGGTAGGGCAGATACAGTATCACATGATAATGCCTTCGATGTATTTGTTGTCCAAAAAGGTTGTGAAAGTGGTATCTTGTTGTTGGACGGGGTGTCATGATGAATTCTTAAAATTCTTAATACACCGTGCACTGCCAAACCTGCCCAAGCAAAGCCAGTCCCCAAACTTTTCAGCCGATGCTGCTGAAGCAAGCTAGCACACCATAACGCCTCGTCGCTTCAAAGCCTCCGAAGCTCCGCCAAACCCACTCCATCACCGAGAGACTCTACCCGCAAAAGCCCTAAAACCTAAAGCCTAACTCTTAAGCCTTAAGCCTTAACCGACGAAATCCTAAAGCCCAACCCCCCAAACCCCTCGAACCCTCTACCCCACGAATCTAGAGACTAGGCCGTAACCCCTCGCAGGACCATACTTGGGGAAGATCATGGGGCTTAGTCTGCATAAGGATGGGTAGTTTATAAGTGTATATGTATATATAGATACCGTATCTGTAACCCTAGTTACTAAGTCCCATGATCCTTCAAGTAAACCCCTAACTTAAATCTAGAGCAGCCTAACCCCTAATCCCTTAAAGCCTAAACTAAACTCCAAAGGTCCAATGGCAGTCCTGACGGAACTCTTTCGGCAACTGGCGCGTCCTGGAGCCTGGCTTTAGGGTTGCACGGTTCAGGGTTTAGGGTTTCACTGTCTCAGACTTCAAGGTTTTAGAGCTTCACGGTTTAAGGCTTTAGGCGTTCAGTGTTTAGAGTTCAAGATTTAATTAGGGCGTTAAGGTTTTAGGGCTTTATAATGGGGCTTTAGGCGTTCAGTGTTTAGAGTTCAAGGTTTAGATTTTAGGGCTTTAGGGCTTTAGGGCTTTAGGGTGTAGGGTTTTAGGCCGTAAGGGTTAGAACGAAGGTGCTAGTACTTGGGTTTTTGGGGTGCAAAAGCTTGCAGCACATGTGAAAAAAACCAGAATATACCCACAAGACCTTCTATTCCTAAGCATTCATGCCCTTATAGTACAGAGGCTGTAAAATGCCGACTCGGGGTTTATTGGAGAAAGTAGTTTTGGGTCTCCTTATGTTCGGGGGTTGCAGTCACGGGCTCCTGTTCCAGGGTTCACCCTTTTCGGCCTCTGCTCCAGGATACTTGCAAGGGGGGTGTCATGCTTTTCCTCGATAACTTAGGGTATGTTATATGCTAAAGCATCAACAAGATGCACGTTCAGGATTTATATAAACCTTAAGCTTAGCCGGTAATAGAGCTTTTGACGTGCCATAAGTCAGAGGATATATTCCCGGGGCATACACTTCGTAGAGCATACAATACATCGGAACCCCAAATATGCGAAGCATAAACAAACCCATCTTCGCTTTGTAAAAAACGTGTATTCCTTCTTTAACGGTACCTGAAACCCTCAAGCACGCTAAGCCACCAACACAAAAACAAAACCTAGATGCCTTATCCCTAAATCCTGAACCTAAACCCTATAGACCCTAAAAGCCATGCGCCACACCAGACCCTAAAAGTCTAAAGCACCCTAAACGCCCTTGCCGTACACTTCAAGACGCTAACACGACCCTACAACAGAAGCCTGAGCAATTACAAAATTGTTACTATAGTTCTTTAGGTTATGTTTCTGAGAACCCTATTCTTAGGCTTAAGCCGCCTTCATCATAGAACCCTGATATACACCCGGTAATGAACCCGTATGAAGGGATACATAAAAGAACCCTATTCTATCAATTGGGCCCCCTCAACCCTAGACCCTAAAATCACAAACCTCAACACAATCTAAAACCACCAGACACAAACCTATATAAACACCCCTACCACCCCAAAGAAATCCTAAAAGACACCCCCCCCCAAGCCCTAAACCCTAAGCCCAACACCCTAAAGCCAATCCCTGAGGCTCAACCCTAAACCCTCAACCCAAACCCTAAACCCAACCCCCTAAACCCCAAAAGCCCAAACCCTAAACCCTAAAAGTGCCTCCGGTGGGACTCTCAGGAGCCCCCCAAGCAACGCCCGGCGCCGCTCGAAGCGAAGGTCCATCTCCGAGCCCCTCGAAAAGCAAAAGCAATGACTTCCTTTAAAGGATTTAGGGTTTAGGGTTTAGGGTTTCAGAATCTGCATAGGATCCTATATGGGATCCGTTAGGGCATCTATATGGGTTCCTTAAAGAGGATCTATATAGCTTCCTGAAATAAGGATTCATATGGGTTCCTTTAAGGTTCCGTAAAAAAAATGAACTGGGTTCCTTTAACGGATACTGTATGTATATGCGTGGGCTCCTGAAAAGGATCCATACGGGTTTCTTCAAAAGATCTATATGGGTCCCCTTAAAGGATCTATAGGGGATCCATTCTGGGA